CCTCTCCCTTCCCCAAGGAAACACTGGCCTGACTCCATGGCAATCACTTCCTTGCTTTTCTCTATAGTTTTATGACCCAAGTGTGCATCCCTAAACACTGTGAACGAAGGCTGTCTTTTTTCCTAATAGGTCTTTTAGGTGTATTTTAATCTACAAGTTCTCCCTCTATCCTTGCTCTCCTTTTTTTTTTCCTTGTAAAAATGATTTTTGAAGAAACCGAGCCACATAAACCTGTAGACTGAAGTTTCCCACAGCCTGAACTTAGCTGATTGCATTAATGCAAATGTTATAGCTGGTTAATATAAATCAAGCCGTAAAGAGGATATCAGGTAGATTTAAAGGCAAACACGTGGTGTGACAAATTCACAACAGCATTAAGAGTCTGTTCCTCTAATAAGGACCATGGGATGATGATGATGATAATGGTTACAAAAGCTTTGATACAGTTGCTTTGAGGTAATCATTTTCTTCCTTCCTTCTTTTTGCTGCTTTATACATATATCTCGAAGAAAATGTAGTAAAGGGAAAATGCCATGTTGGATACATAAGGAAGGCAAAAAAAAAAAAGAAAAAGAAAGAAAGAAAGGTCAGTAAGTATAAACAAAACAAAAAAGGGATTTTTCTGGGAAGGGAATGGGAAGGACAAGCAACCTCTACCTGGCCCTTTGGTTATTTGTAAGTTTTGGCACTTTTCTTTCTCTAAGAGGCAATCAGATGCAGCGACCAGCAGAAAGGAGATAAACGGTAGCAAAGCAAAATCAATAAAAGGGCAATATAAAACTCAATGTGATTTTTCTTTAGTACAGTGAGACAAGCCATATTCATTTTCTCCTACCACATTCTTTTCAAGCCTTAGTTTCTAAGCAATGGCCTTCAGGCATGGAATAAAAATAGCTTTGCAGTTAAATCTACTTGCTGTAAGATCTGGGGGCAAGTTATTTAACACAGGTTTCCTTACATGAACAGTGAGGATAATATGTACCTTACGAGGTTGTTCGGGGCTCCAATGAGATAATAGCTATAAAGTGTCACATAGTAAATGCATAACAAATGTCTCTTCGATTCGCCTCTTCCCTGCCAAGTTGTATCAATTTTCCTCTAAATATGTTGACTTTAAAAATTCAAGCCATTGAACATCAAAAGTTCAAATAAAGGGCATTAAAAAAATCTAAATTTTTCATTTCACCCTATGCAGAATAAACCTTTCTGACAGTGTCTTTGTGAATTTAGATATTTAGCAACATGGATAAACTTAAACAGCCACAAAACCCCTCTTTCACAATATTCCCACGTTCATCCTTTCCTGTCCGTTCCCTCTACAGCCTTGCCGGATTGGCACGTATTTATTCAACCCAATAGCATGAAAGAGCCTGGGGATCTTCTATTCTAAGCCTAATTTTACCAGTAAGGAAAACTGAAGCCCAGTGTGACGCCCACGTAAACTCCACTAGTTGACAGCAGAAACTAGACAACAGCCTCTAATGCTGGTTGCAAATTAAGTGCCTACAAGGCGAGTACGTAAAAGAGATGAGAGCAAAGAGAGGGGCCTAAGTGGGGAGCACAGTTGTTCTAAACAGTGAACTCGCCCTCACAGTTATCACGTGCGAAAGAGGGCCAAGTTGCTAGCACTTCTAATGTTTAAACAGATCATGGAAACTCGAAACCTTATATATAATGTACTCATTTTTAAACACTGGCAATGTATTAAACATTTTCTAAATCTCTCTGCAGTTTGACACAAGATACGTCTACGGGCTAGATTCAGTCCATAGCTAGCCAGTTAGAGGCCTCTGCATCCTGCTAACCCTAATTTGTGCGTTCTTTTTTTTCTTTTGGCTGTGTTGGGTCTTCGTTGCTGCACGTGGGCTTTCTCTAGTTGTGGCGAGTGGGGGCGGAGCACGGGCTCTAGGCGCGTGGGCTCTAGGCGTGTGGGCTCACGGGCTTTAGAACGCCGGCTCCGCAGTTGTGGCGCACGGGCTTAGTTGCTCCGTGGCATGTGGCATCTTCCCGGACCAGGGCTCAAACCCATGTCTCCTGCAATGGCAGGTGGATTCTTAACCACCGAGCGACCATGGAAGTCCCTGACCCTAATTTAAATGTCTTTAATTTGCTTTGATCCTTTTACTCCCTCTTTGAAAAACCTTCAATGGCTCCCCACTGTCTACCAGATATAGTCCAAACTTCTTTACCTGCTGTCCTTCACGGCAATCCATGACAATACCTGAGACCCGAAACTGTATTTCCACCTTCCAGTCAGTATCGGTTTTCCACTGCAACCAGAATGGCCACTGACTTCTACTCTAGGTACAAAACTGTTCAGAAGGGCACCTGCTCAGACAGCGTGGCCTGCTCCTTGGTCTCCAGACTTTTCCCTTTCTTGGAATGCTTTCCACCTGTGACTCCCATCAATGAAACTCTGTCTTTAGGTGTCCAGCTCAAATACTACCTCTCCACAAAACATCCTTGATGGCCCCTGCTAAAAGCCACCTTGCTCTGAATTCCCAAAGGACTTTATATTCCTCACACGACACTTAAAACATACTGCCTTGTTTCACAGTTACCCGCATAGCTCGTTTCCCCAAGCACCTAATAACATTAGGAAGGAAGGAAGGAAGGGGTTGAGTCTAAAGACTATGTTGAATACCCCACAGTGATTTGTACAAAGCACGGAGCTCAGTAACCATCTTAGAAACATTATTTTTTATACTGAAAACTTGTGGATGAAACATAAATACCTTTGTAGAACTTTATTGCATCTATACTTGTATGGGTAGACTCCTAAGAGATGCAGACGGAGCAAAGGCCTCACTTGCCTGATTCCCTAAAACATTTTCCCCACTGAACTTCTACTTCCTACTTGTTTGGGGATTTCTTCCTCTAGAAGCACTCACATCTTTGCCTTAGACGACACTGACTCTAAGCGGGCACTGTTAAATATTCATCTGTCACCTGAATGTGTTTCAGGGAAGTTGGTCTTTTTTTGTGAGTAAGGTTAATTGATCAGATCTCATGGTTGTCTCTTGGAAAGACATAGAAAGCTGGGCTATCAGTGAACAGACACTGTTCAAACATTTCAGTAGTGATAAAACTTATTAAACCCTGGCTATCCAGCAATCAAGGTTAGTTTCGAGTCCTAAACTTTCATCTCTTATTTTGTTTTCCTGGAGCCACTCCCATTTTCAGCCAGCTGTATTCAGTTAGTGTCCAAAAGTAAAAGAAAAATTAGATTCCATTTTATTTCTACTGGCCTGCCCAGCACTAGAGGCACTCAGTAAAATGTTTGCTGAATGAATTTTTAAAAATCAATTTTTACTTTTGCTTGAAAACAAATGCAGTCGCTGAAAGGATAAAATACCACAATCTTATAAGATAGTCTAAGTTTGCATAAAATAATGGGAAAAGCTGATATAGTCTTATCTCAAACTAGCTATGCTTGGGTGTCAGCTGGGTAGTTTCAATTAGCGTATCCTGGATACACCCTTTCTAACGTGTACAAATCTATATTGTCAAAGGCAAGTTAAGCCTTGCAAACATAAAGTTAAATTCTCACATTTATGTCACATGATAAGCTGTGTTTGGTGTCAGAGAGCCAAGATGATCTTGAATTCCAGGAAACATTAAAGAAAACTAATGACTGCAGGGGTTTCCACTCTGCAAACAATGTTTTCTCCTGTTTTGGATGATGCCATGGTAGGTCACATTTACTCTTTAATTCCTTTACCAAAAGACAAAATATCATTCTTAAACTTTTATTGGGAGTGCTTCTAGCATAAGCATATTATAATATGCTTTATAACATATGCTAGCATAAGCATAGTGTAACAGATATGCTCAAAGAACTTCCCATAAAAAGCAATTCTTGTCTTTGTAACTCCTGTGGGTGGAAGCAAGGAGAAATGGAACCCAATAGGCTCTGTGCCCCCCATTTTTCCTATTTTAGTATGTTTTGTGGTAAAACAGACAAAGTGATACTGTCTCCTCTGTTGAATACTAATAACGTGAACATGCTTGTTTTGTCTTTATATAAGTAAATTATCTTCCGTGTTGGTTTTGAAAACAAAATTTTAACATTTCAGAAACTAACATTCGAAACACTTTTCAAGCATAAAAGGCTTCTAGGCCTTTGATTACTGGTAAAACCCCTGATGTAGAACAACAGCAACAAATATTTTATAATTATACTGTTGTAAAATAAAAAGAACCATTGATTTGTTAAAGAACAAGAACAAAGCAACACCCATATGAAAACAGAAGGAAGCTTGGAATCGACCATGTCAAGATCACTTGCACCCGCTAGAAAGAACAGAAATACGGCTAGAGGAAGGGCTTTTTTTCTGATCTTAAACCAAGCCCCAAATAATTGGGCAGCTCTAATCCTCTTTGATCCTGTTAAACGTGTATTTCCAGCGTACATGCAAGTTGTTGAGGCTCTCGACGTTTCCCCAAAGGGCCGGTGAAAAAGGAGTCTGGCAATCGCAAGCTGAGAGCATCAGCGATCCTCTCGCCGCAATGGAAGAGCTGTGCTGACACACTGGGGACTCACACACACGCACACGCTCAGAGAATCCGCACAGAGGTGACATTTGGCGGCCCTTAACGAGTCCTCTGATTCGGAGAACAGAGTGTCACTTATTTTTTTTTGAACTGTAAAATGATCCTGGCGGGGTGGGGGGTGGGGGCGGCGGACATGGGTGGCGGAGATTTGCCCCCCGCACTCCTAGAATCAGGCCGGGGAGGCGGGGTGGTCGGGGACCCAGAGGCCCATGACCGCAGACCTGTGCGACCCGCTCCCAGGGATCGATGCCCAGGAGAGGCAGACCAGGGCTTTCCGCTCTCCCAAACGAGGGGCAGTGAAGTCAATGTGTGGTAACATCATGTCAGCTCTGCCCACTTGGACAGCGCGGTGTCCTTCTGAGAGTCGGCGGGAGAGCGGCAGAGGAGCCGGAGGCGCCGCGGCACCACCCCGGTCCCCACCAGGCGGCGGGGCGTCCGGCCCTTACCTGGTTCCGGCGGTACCAAGCGCCCGACAGGGAGCCATTGCCGGCGCCCAGCGCCCCGTACGTGAGGTTCCGGGACAGCTCGTCCAGGGCGGCCGAGGCGGCGGCTCCGGGGCCCCTGGGCGCAGGCGCCGCCATTAGCTCTCGCTCCCCGCGCTGGGTCTCGGGCTCCCGCCTCTTCCCGGCCCGGCCGCACAGCAAGGGGCCACAAAGGAGGCGCGCCCTGCGGAGGCCGCGCCCGGGCCGCGCCTGGGCCACTTCCTGCTCGGTGCCCGGGCGAGGCGGGCGCGCCTGGGCCACCTGGCTCCCGCCCCCGCGCGGCGCCAGGTTCCCGGGGGAGCCCCGCGCTCTGCGGCCTCCCGGGGCGGCTCGGCTCGCTCCGCATCGTCCCGCCGCCGGGCACGGGCGCGCAGAGGCCTCACGGGCCCGAAGAGGGAGAGGAGCCGCGCCCCTCTGCGCGCCGGGTCCGCACCTGTCGGGGCCAAAGCCCTTCCAGCCCCAGCGGCGCGGAGTCACCACTTGTGAAATGAATAGGTGTGAAAGGAGACATTGGCCAACCCAAAGCAGCCACCTTCCCTCCGCCTGTACCTGGCAATCCAGCTCTCTATCTCAGATGCGGTGTTTCTCACTTGTATTTTTAAAATGGTTCGCATGTGGAAAAGTCCCGAGTTCCCAGAAAATATTGTAAGCGACATGAGAATAAAGATCGGAGAGATTAAATCTCAGTGCCAACACTTGATAGAGCCTTAGCAAATATTCCTAGAATGAAAGAAGGACTCTCCAGTGGAGGACCCTGACGTGTTTTGGGGATTGGATGGGGTTTCCTTCAGATGGAACCAGAAGGACATGCTGAAAAGTTGCCAGCCACTGCATATAAGAATTTAGGTTGGGAGATAATTATTAATGGTCTTAAGGAACTCTAACCAGATGTTCTGGTTTTATCTGTATTCAAATTCTACTGCATTACTACAGATGATGTTAAGTACCTCTCATCTTGAGAACCCTGTGATTCTGTATTGTTACTTGAAGCCTTGGAACTTGCAGTTCTTTTGTTTGCACGTTGCTGAGCTTCTTAAATAATGTGCTATGACCGCCATGACTTCATGAAACAGAGACCTTCAAGGAGAGAGAATTGCTGCGTAGCGGGGAACAGCGAGAAATGTTCTTAGGGAAATGTGCGAATGAGAGAAGAAAATGAGAAAAAAATCATTTCAGATAGAGAAAAAATAAGACATCTCCGAGATTGTATAGATTCTTGCTTGAGCACCCAAAATGTTCAGTGAACAGTTAATATGGTAGCTATTTCCAATTTTGTGGCTCATTTATTTCAAATAAGTATCTGAAGGAAAAAGTGTCTATTTTTAATATTTTCTATAACATTATATTACATTGTATATTGGAGGCCTTATTAATGCTTCTTTCCTTGAGATGGTGTAGGGTACAAGTAACAGAATATCCAAGTAAAAGTGGCTTGAACAATAAGCATCTGTTATCTCCAAAGGGAAGGTGGCTCTGTGTGGTTCTATGATGTCGTCACCTCCATCTTTCTGCTCTGCCATCCCTGAGATATTGGCCTTGTCCCTATTCATGGTGGCAGCTCCAGGCGTTACATGCAAACACGATCATATTTAGAAAAGCAGCAGGGCTTTTCTTCTTACGCATCTTTTAATTAGAGAGGGAAATCTTTTCCAGAATCCCCTTAGCAACCTCTCCAACCAGGTCCCATTAGCCAGGGCTGGGTCACATGCCCGTATTCTACCTGTCAGGGAGGCTGGGAAAGTGATTGTCAGGCATTTCCAGCCTTCGGAGTGGGAGGCGAGCTCTGCCGGCAGGGAAGAACCGGGCTAGGGTAGGAGGGCACCACCGGCAGAGCTTGTCACAGCCAGTCTTTAGGGTATTCTATCACCCATATTGTAACTAGTCATACAGTCTGTAACGAGCAAAACAATAAACGGTTTGTGTTACTTTCCTGTTTTTTTAAATTTTTTTATTTTTTGCGGTACGCGGGCCTCTCAGTGTTGCGGCTTCTCCCGTTGCGGAGCACAGGCTCCAGACGCGCAGGCTCAGCAGCCATGGCTCACAGGCCCAGCCGCTCCGCGGCATATGGGATCTTCCCGGACCGGGGCACAAACCCGTGTCCCCTGCATCGGCAGGCGGACTCTCAACCACTGCGCCACCAGGGAAGCCCCCTACTTTCCTGTTTAAAAGACTTCCAGACCTGCTCACTGACGCAGTGAAGTTCACACTTCTTAAGTCTGTCAATATGAGACCCTTTATGATCTGGCCCACATTCAGCTCATTCCCATTTTACTTTTTAATTAAAAATCATTTTCAGTTTCTTGGCATTTGTTTAAAAACCTTTAATTTTGGAGGAAGATGGCACTTGGTGCAGAATAGGTATGATGTCTAGCCTGTGATGTGCTATTCTCCAGATTCCAAGATGTCACTGCTGTTGCTGTCGCTGTCCTAGTGTGTGCGGGTAGTTGAAACAAAGAATTCGTGACCAGTGTTCCTTCCCACACAGTTCACAAGGAGGCGGCAGGAAGGCCGTGTGAGCTATTTTGGTCCCAGCAGTGTAGGCAGAGCTGGAGGCTGTTCCTGGCATTGTGATGGCCTCTGCCTTTTGCAGGGTTTCTTCGGGGGATATTCTGTTCACTTTACAAGATGCCAAAAGCCTTTGATCAATCTTCTGTCCTCAACTCTGGAACGGTGGAGGTCTGCCTTCCTCAGCTAATTCAAAGAATTCTGTTCTGGGGCACATCATTTGAAGCTCAACTTCTCTGTGAACTTCGAGAGCAGGGTTACATTTTGCTTGGGATCACTCTCTTGCAGTCTCCACGAAATAGATGTTGTTTTATTTAAGTTGAGAATTATGTTTTATTTTTTTAAGTCTTTATTGAATTTGCTACAATATTGATTCTGTTTTATGTTTTGGTTTTTGTGGCCCCGAGTCATGTGGGATCTTAGCTCCCTGCACCCCCTGCATTGGAAGGCGAAGTCTTAACCACTGGACCACCAGGGAAGTCCCTAGTTTTTGTTTTTTTTAATTCATCTTTAGCATGAATCAGTCGACACTAGTTTCACTAATGATGAATGTCTAAGGGGATAAAGTAGTTATTAAAGATTAATTCAGGTATCTTACATCATATACAAAAACCAACTTCAGATTAAATACTTTAATGAGAAAGGTAAAACTCTAAATCTTTTAGACTAACCAGATGATCTCTACAACCGGAAGTATAAACAGTCTTTAAAGTGCAAATGCTAAAGGCAGATGGTCTGGGTTCAAATCCTGAGTCCACTGCTTATTTACTGCATGATATTGATCAAATTGCTTCATTTCTCTGTGTCTTACATTCATCATCCATGAAAGGGAATTAAGAGTACTGAAACACAGATAGTACTCAGTAAATGGTGTTTGCTATTTATGACCTTAGGATAGAGAAGGATTCCTTAAACAAACAGAAAAAATGCAAACCACAGAGGAAAAGACTGACACATACAATTACAATAAAATTAAGAACTTTTGGAAGTGTCACAGAGTCGCTAGTTGGGGAAGAGCGCGCTGTCTGCCCAGTCCCCGCGTCCGCGCATCCACCGTGGCCGTGGCCAGCCAGGAGCTAGTGAGCAAGCTGCAGCAGTGACTGAAGTGGGAGGAGGTGGAAGGCGGGCTCCAGCCTGCGCCCCAAGCCGCCCCAGTCCCCGAGCCCCAGCCGCAGGTGTCTGCCTGGGCGCCCACGGCCAGAGCCCAAGCCAAGCTGAGCGCACAGCTGAACAGACGGCTGGACGTCAACGAGGGCGCGGCGCGACCCTGCCGCTGCAAGGTCTTCCACCTCTACTCCGAGTTCCCGGAGTTCAGCCACCGCCTCATCAAGGACCTGGAGAGCATGTTCAAACTGTACGATGCCGGAAGGGATGGCTTCATCGACCTGATGGAGCTGAAGCTGGTGATGGAGAAGCTGGGGGGCCCCAGACCCACCTGGGCTTGAAGAGCATGATCAAGGAGGTGCACGAGGACTTTGATGGCAAACTCAGCTTCCGTGAGCTCCTGCTTATATTCCACAAGGCCGCAGCAGGGGAACTACGGAGGACAGTGGGCTGATGGCACTGGCGAAGCTTTCTGAGATCGATGTTGCCCTGGAGGGCGTCAAAGGTGCCAAGGACTTCTTTGAAGCCAAGGTCCAAACCTTGTCCTCTGTCTGAAGCGGAGCTAAAAGCAGAGCAAGATGAGCGGAAGCAGGCAGAAGACAAGAGGAAGCTCCACCAGGCAGCCTTCCGGGAACTCAGGGCCACTTTCAGTACATAGTTGGGCTGAACTGGACCTGTGTCCACAGCTGTGCCTCACAGATGCCCCGGGGAGAGCTGGCCGGGCACCCTCGCCCCTGCTGACCCTTTGCCCCAACAAGCCTCCACAACCACCACCCAGTGCAAACTCCTTAACCTCATCGGGGTGGCGGGGGGCGGCTCTCGCCTTCATTTGGGAGCCCCTCCCAGAGGGTCCAACTGCCCCCCTCAAGTCCCTCTCCTGCTCGCCTTCCTCTGCCCTTCTCTGTAGCCGGAATGTGCCTCTACTTGGCAACCTTTACTTCGTCCTTTTATCTTTCCCCCTCCGCATCAAAGAGTGGTCTGCTGTGTTAATTTGCACAGAGACTTCTTTCTTTGGTGGTCCTCAGAGGAGATAGCCCCTGGAGGCCTGTGATGTTAATGTTGCCCATTTTCTTGGGTAATCCTTTTCTGTGACTCTTCCTGTCACGCCCCTCTCTCCTTTGTTTCCCATCCAACTTCCCTGTTCTCATTCTTATCCTGATCCTGCCAGGTGCTTTTGCATCTTCTGTCATTTGATGATGCTGAGGTTTAAGTCAGGCCAGGCTCGACCACTGCCTGTCCCCTCTCCAATAGGAGGAACGGCATGCTGCTGAGATGACACAAAATAGTGAAAAGATAGGAGATTCTGTTCCTTCCCGTCACCTTTCTCCTGTCCTCTTAGCATTCCCCCTAGATCTATCCTTTTCATTCTTCTTCCCACTTCAGCCTTTTCTCCTACCCCTAAATACGGTGCTACTTAACTGTAAGAATGATTATAAGTAATATTAATGAGTAGAAGAATTCCCGTTAACTCTGACTTCATGCAAATTATA